GGAGTGGAGCTAGTTCCAGTTCTTCCAGCGGAGGTTTTAGTGCCACTGGTCAGGGAAAAGGTGGTAGATTTTCTAGGAGTCTTAGAGGCCAGAGACAGGGTGATACTGGTAGAGGAAGAGCTCCATTGTGCCGCAGATGTAACAATCGGCATTTTGGATAGTGCAGGAGAGGCAACAGTGGTTGTTTCACTTGTTGGTAGATGGGACATAGGGCTACAAATTGTCCCCAGAATCAGCAAATGCCTTAGCAGTCTTTCTTACACCACATGCGCCAATCCAGCAGGTTCCAGGGCCTGGTAGTTATGGTCAGATGGGTCGTGGTGGTGCCTACTATTATCAGGGTGATGCCGTTCCTTATGCTCCAGGGCAGTATCCATATCTCCAAGATCCTTATTCTCAGAGTGGGTATCCTCAGTACTCTAGAGGTTATATGTCGTATCCTCCCATTCCAATGAGTGGATCTCAGTGGTACCAAGGAGGACAGCCTCAGCAGGGAGAGATTGCTACTAGTAGTGCAGGATCTTCAAGGCAGTCTAGTTAGTCTAGTCAAGGGCGTAATGTGCAGAGTCAAGGTGGTCAGACTAGTAGAGGTCGTGGTGGACGACAGCAGACCCAGGGGCGCATCCACAATATTTCTCTACAAGATGCTCAGAATAATCCTGACTTGATTATGGGTACGTTAAATATCCTTGGTTATTTTGCTAGAGTATTGATTGATTGTGGTGCGACACATTCTGTTATTTCTCATAAATTTGCCCAAGTGACGCAACCTCAGCCTACACCTTTAGGGTATGATTTAGAGTTTGCTATGCCTAGAGGGGAGAGATGTTATGTTGATTGTGTGTATCCAGGATGTCCAGTGATGGTGAAGGATGTTGTTATGCCAGCTAACCTTATCCCGTTAGATATTGTTGATTTTGATGTGATTTTGGGCACAGATTGGTTGCATTTTAATCATGCTAATATTGATTGCTAGGGGAAAACTGTTACCTTCCATCATCCTGGATTATCTGTGGTTACTTTTATGGGTGAGCATAGTGGGGTGAGACATGGCGTTATTCTGCTATGAGAGCAAAAAGGTTGTTATCAAAAGGTTGCCAGGAATACTTAGCTCATGTAGTGTTGAACAATGTTACTCCTAGTAGTGTGGAGGACGTAAGGGTCAGGCATTTTCCTGATGTTTTCCATGACGATTTATCTGGATTGCCACCAAACCGAGATGTGGAGTTTACCATTGATTTGCTTCCAGATACTAATCCTAAATCCTTAACTCCTTATCGAATGGCTCCTACTGAGTTGAGGGAATTGAAAATTTAGTTGCATGAATTAGTGGATAAAGGTTTTATTCAGCCTAGTACTTCACCCTGAGGAGCTCCAGTATTGTTTGCGAAGAAGAAAGACGGGACTTTGAGGCTATGCATTAATTACCAGCAATTGAATAGGGTAACAATTAAAAACCGTTATCCATTGCTGCGAATAAATGATTTGTTTGATCAGCTTCGAGGTGCTTGTGTATTTTCCAAGATTGATTTGAGATCTAGTTATTATCATTTGAAGATCAGTAGTGAGGATGCCCCTCAGACAACTTTTAGGACTCGTTATGGTCATTACGAGTTTCTAGTAATGCCATTTGGATTGACGAATGTACAACAGCTTTTATGGATTTGATGAATCGAGTATTCCAGCCATATTTAGATAGGTTTGTCATTGTCTTTATTGACGATATCCTAGTATACTCTAAGTCTAAATCTGAGCATGTTCGACATCTTTCTTTGGTGTTGAAAAGGTTGAGGGAACACCAACTGTATGCTAAGTTTAGCAAGTGCCAATTTTGGTTAGATCAAGTGGCATTTTTGGGACACGTCATATCTGCTCAAGGTATTTTGGTGGATTGTCAAAAGGTAGTAGCAGTGGAGAAATGGGAGCAACCACGAACCGTCATTGAGGTGAGGAGTTTTCTTGGCTTAGCAAGATATTATCGACAGTTTGTAAAGAATTTCTTCGTTATTGCTTTACCACTGGCAAGGCTAACTAGGAAGGATGTTAAATTTGAGTGGGATGATAATTGTGAGCAGAGTTTCCAGCAATTGAAGTATTGTCTCACTCATGTACCTGTTTTGGCACTCCCGGATGATAGTGGTAATTTCAAAGTCTACAGTGATGCTTCCTTAAATGGTCTGGGATGTGTGCTGATGCAACATGGTAGGGTGATTGCTTATGCTTCACGACAATTAAAGCCTCATGAGTTGAATTGCCCTACGCATGATTTGGAGTTAGCGGCCATTATCTTTGCTTTGAAGATTTGGAGACATTATCTTTATGGGGAAAAATATAAGATCTTTATGGATCATAAGAGTCTTCAATATCTTTTCACTCATAGAGATCTTAATCTTCGTCAGCAAAGGTGGTTGGAACTGCTTAGTGATTATGATTGCACGATTGATTATCACCCTGGTCGTGCGAATTTGGTAGCTGATGCACTTAGCAAGAAATCTCAAGGTCGTATTAATGCATTGTACGCTAGTCGTGTTCCTCTTCTGGCAAATTTAAGATCAACTAGAGTACGGTTAAAGGTAAAAGATCAGGAGGTAGCCTTACTCGCTAATTTTCAAGTTAGGCCGATTTTAATTGATCGTGTACTCAAAGCCCAGATGGTTGATGAAGAGACCCAGCAAATAATTCAAGCAAGGAATCAAGGGAAAAAGAAAGACTTCAGAGTTCGAGAATCGAATGGCATGCTTATGTAGGAGAGCAGAATGTTTGTGCCAAATAATTTGGAATTAAAGAAAGTAATTCTTGATGAAGCGCATATCTTAGCTAATGCGATGCATCCAGGAGGTACTAAAATGTATCATACCATTCGACCATTCTATTATTGGCTGGGTATGAAAAGAAAGATAGCTGAGTATGTGAGTAGGTGTGCCATTTGTCAACAGGTTAAAGCTGAAAGAAGAAACCGTTTGGGTTGTTGTAGCCGTTTCCCGTTCCAGAGTGGAAATGGGAAAATATTACAATGGATTTTGTGTACAAGCTTCTGCGTACACATAATGGTTTTGACGGCATTTGGGTAATAGTCGATCGGCTTACTAAATCATCATATCTTCTTCACTTTTCAACCAAACTTCATGAAATTTAAACCAAAATGAAGCTTAGGATGAGAGGAACAAAACCTTACAACTTTTAGGTCCTAAAACTCACGAGATCTCGCCAGAAAAATCACGATAATTCGGCCAACTCTGCAACTTGCCAAACCCGAGCTTCCTAACATCCAAAACCTTCCAAAATTCTTCCCTAAGCTTTGTGAAGAAGTTCTAAGGCTCTCTAACACTTCCAAACTCGACAAAACCTCCTCGATCACGATGGATGAACAGTGCACCTCATCGGGGTTTTCTAGTTCTCGAGTAAATGAAGTCTTCACGTCCAACTACGAGTATAGATCGACTCTTGAGCTTGCAAGGAGTCCAAAAACAACATCCACAAGCTTGATCCGTGAATGATCAAGTGGTTTGAGAATTTGTCTGTACAATTGTATGGAAATGGAAAGAAATCCGAGTGGGAAGAAAGAGAGTCAACGGGAGTGGTGTGTGTGTGTGGTCCAGATAGGTCACCAACCAAAACAAAAGAAAAATAAAATAAAATCTAAGTTCCAATTGGTTCCAAAAACTAAGGAAAACATGAATTGGACCACAACCAAAATGCATGTCACACAACACCATCTAACGTCCAAGGGTATAAAAGTCATTTCACGCTATCGAGGATAAAATAATATACACATTTGGGACGGGCTATCACACACACACACACACACACACACACACATATATATATATATATATTAAACTTTTAGTAGTACGATATACTATTGAACGTATGTCTATATTGTAGGATTGTATACTTCTGAAGTATTTATAAAAAGCAGTATGATATACTTTTGAACGTATGTATATTTATAGTAGCACTGTATTCTTTATATATATATATATATGTATGTATATATGTTAGGGGTGATAATAGTATGTGCAATAATTATTTGTTCATTATAATTAAAGTAAGTAATAATATTTATTGATTTGATTGTGGCACAAGTTGTAAATATTTTGTAATAATAGGTCAATTACTTTTCTATTTGGCAGTCTTTTTCAAATTTGGGTTTTATTTAGATATTTAGAATTAGGTGGGTTTTGATCTAGAAAATAAGAGTTGCAAGAATTTATATCTAAAAAACCCTTAGAACTATATCATTGAATATTTGTTGCATACATTATGTATCACGTCACATAATAATATGGTATAACTCCAATAATATTGGTCATTACATGAGAGAAACTCATCAGAGCACGACCTACTTAACCCACAATAAAAAAAAGCGATTAAGTTTGTTGTTCTCAAAGTCCGGTTTGACGCCATTAATTAATTATATGCATGCCTAGTTAAAATCAAGTAAAATGATAAACGCACATCTTTTTTTAGCTTTCACCCATCTATGTGTAGTCATGTTCATTATTTTCATTTAATCTAACAACTAAAAATGAAGAAGATCAAGAAACTTAAAAGAGTGTGAAATCAAAATATATTCAACTTTTTGTTCGATATTAATCTCAAATAACACGACATTAACATGATAACACAGACTCGATTACTGCTTCTAATCGTAATTTAAAAACTAAGGTGATGGTCCATGAATTGAATTTGTTAAGAAAGACAAATTTATTATTATAAGCATTATCGTTAGGATACGGTCAATCAATACAGCTAGCTACAATTGGGAGGAAACACCACACTCAAAGACAAGACATATAGTGACAAATCTCTCGTTCAACGGTCTTAATTAAGAAATAATATAACTCCATTTCGTGTCTACACTTGGAATTAAAGGGAGGCAACCTAACGCTTATATTTATACTCCTATAGCCACTACCTAAGCTGTGAACTCTTCATACAATCTCTTTCTCTCTCTCTCTCTCTCTCTCTCTCTCTCTCTCTCTCTCTCAAACACAAGCATGGAAATCTCCTTCCAATTGCAAAGCAACAATCCAATGCTGCAAAAGGCAAGGCCAAAGAAAAATTCTCATAGTAGTTATATGATTCAAACTATTTCATGCAGAGGTGATGGGTTAGAGAGCCATGCAAAGAAGGCTAACTTTTATGAGGTACTTTCTCTTGGTTCTGAAAATAACATAGACTTGCATGACATAAAGAAAGCCTACAGAAGCATGGCTCGTCAATTTCATCCTGATGTTTGTGCTCCGTCGGCAAAAGAGGAGTCTACCAGAAAATTCATTGAGCTTCAAAAAGCATATGAAACACTTTCCGACCCGGTTTTGCGTCAAATGTATGATTATCAGTTGAGTTTGGCTGACTCTTCGTTAGGGTTAGGGGTGGAGGGATTTTGTATGGAGGTTAAGAGATCCATATTTCAAAGGGAAGTGTGGGAAGAACAACTTCGTGGATTGCATAAAAGATCACAAACCAGAAGGGAAAGGCGGTCCATGCAGAATTAATATTTTATTATATTTGTAATGCAATGTTTTACTAATATTTTCGTAGTATCATTTGTAATTATTTGTGCAAACAGGAGCAGCAGAGCTTTCTCTTTGTTAAATTTTACTCGAAAAGGGGCTTCATTTTAGTATCTAAATGATAACATAAGGAACAAAATGATCTCTTCTTTTTTTATTTTATGTATTACGTTCTTTACTTTACCAAACTCAAAATACAACTAAAACAAACAACCGACAAACTGAAAACAAGATTTGAAAGTTGAATTGAAGAAAGAAATTAAAAATAATAAGCAAAGTAAAATCACAACGCAATGAGGGATAAGATTTATTTATTTTTTTTTTTTTGAACAAAAGATATTATCTACACTGAGGGATGGGGAGTGGGCGAAGTTCTACACTAGGTTAGCCATAATAATGTGATTCAAATTCTCAATTCGCGAAAATCAAACATAAGACCTCTTATTTACAAGTAAAAATGACCACTAGACCATACTAGTCACGAGATTTTTGAAACTAGTTTTTTAAGATTAGGGCAATGACTTCATCATAACTATCCAATTTCAAGCAATTAAACACAAGTTACAAAGTTCAAATTTAGTTTTAATGTCTGATCACTAGTACAAAAAACACTTTGCGCGACGCAGGTCCTTCGTCGCACAAAGTTAAAAAATAATTTGCGCAAAACTTAGCCCAACGAACATTTGTCGCACGCTAACCGTCGTGCCAAGGCAGTGACAGAAGGGTTTGCGTGACGAAGAAGAAACATGTGTCGTGCAAAGCCACTCTGTGCGACGGAGGCACATGCGTCGCGCAAAGTGCATTAGGTAAACCCCTTTCTTGGTTTTGGTCAAAAATATTATTTTTTTAATTTTTAATAATATTGTAATTAAATTCTAAACAATAATTAATTAACCAAAGAAAAGTATTTAATTATAAAATATATGAAAATGTACATACAAGATGGCCAAACAAAAAAAAAAAAGAAAAACCTACAAGTAGTTTTCTAAGTGAAGTGGCTACTGGGTATCGGCAGGGTGAAATGGCTCGAAGGTCGAAGGTGTAGCAAGATCAGGTACTGGTAGCGAGATTTAGAGGTCGGACATCTGTATGGCTCATACAAGGTCTCTCACGTGCCCAGCATAGGCCTTCATCTCCTCGCCCTGGGCCCTTATCTGCTCACCCTAGACCGCAAGCTGACCCTTTAGGGTTGTCACTTCCTCCTTCAATGCATCAACCACTACTTGTTTGATCTGGAAGAAGAGGACTAACTCGCGCTTTCCCCATGCATTGAACAACCTTGCCATGACGACGACCATTTCAAAACAAGAGGAACTACCTATCCATTTTCATAGCCAACAAAAAAAAGTGCATCAAGTGAAACAAAAAGAATGGGTAACCCGACACTGGGAATCTGTGATAAATTGTAAAGATTATCTGAATCAATATTTATAACAACTAAAACATGTTTCAGGATGCCCAGTAAACACTCTAGTAAGCAAACATTGTAATCAATCAAGGGTACCAAAACTTCATTAGACTAATTGATATGATCAAAGTACAATAGAAAAACAGTTTACTTCGTACAAGCCAATAAACCAAACACATGACCATAGAGACGAACTAGTAAACAGGTAGTAAGGTAAAAGAAGCAACTCCAAATATATAGAACTCCAAATATTGGTTAACACCAAACTAGTTTCGGTCTAACTTAAACCTATAACTAGACTAACTGCAAAATTAGAGCTATTTCCTGCACATAATAAATGAAAAGAACTGAAAATTTTCTTTCTAGATTCTTAAAACAATAGTTAGCAACTGTACGTTCAAAAGCATATTATATAGTTCTCCAATGTTAAACAGCTGATATTATATATCTTCTAAGTAACATTTAGCTTTATCCATCACACCACCCACAGTCAGAGCACGTTTTAGTAAAAAAGAGATGTAGACTTGTTTTTTTTGGATCAACAGATATATGTAGACTACATGAGAAACAAGGAACAACCCACAGCAAGCATTTACTTCATATGGAAAGCAACAAAATTAAAACTGAACATTAGATATTCCTGAAGCTTACAGAAGTAGCCCATTCTGATTTCAGTCGCTTTTCAACAAAGTTAGCATGTTTCTTTGCACAAATTTCTCTGGTATCGCTGTTGAAACAATTAGGAATATCATTTGGTAACTACTGACTACCATAAAAAAAAATTACGTGGAGTTTAAAATGCATTATGACGAAAGTAGGAAAAAAAAAATCAAAGGAACAGGTCTTATAATGAGGCAAAACCAAATTGTATAATAGACTGAAATGAAACTATGGTGGGAGCAACACCATCGTATGTTAGCAAATAGAAACATGAATAGCAGCATACTTAAGTGTAAAAAAAACAAGAAAAGAATTGAGGATCAGATAAGTTTGAGCGGTTAATATACTTTGCATATTTTAACATGAATAAACCAGTATTGTTAATCAAGATAATCAACAACAAAGGCAAACCTCAAAGGATTGTCTCCTCCAATTCTGCCTCTAACATTATCCTTACTCTCTCCATGCCTAGTAAGTAATATTAGGCGGGGCGTGAGGTGTGTATTCACCTACAACAGTGTACCAGAAATATATGAATACATGACCAAAGTATGAAGAGACAAAACGACCAAAAAAGAGCCAAAGGAGCGCAAAAGTGGCAGCAGGGGTGGGGAGGGCGTTTGGGGCTTAGGGATACTCAACTTATCTCAGTTTTTTATGTCGAGATTCCACTGTAAGATTTTGGTATGGTAATTACAAGTGCAATTTAAAAAAGGAACCTTTTACTAAGATTGTTAACTGTAATTTCATCAAGTGCAGATATAGATATATTCACCAAACAAGACATGTAATTAAAACTAGACGAAAACAACTAACAATGAAGACGAATGCATGAATTCAAACCATTTAGAAACAAGCTACAACTCAAGGTTCTGTGAGAAAACTAGCTTACTTATTTAACTCGAACTATAACCACTTCATACTCCCACTAACTGATAGGAGCATATTTAGGCAACTTAGTTGGCTTGTTCTTGTGCATTTACGTTGTTATTTCTTAGTTCTTTAAGTCTTTTAAGTTATTTTCATATGTTTTTAGGTTCTCAGGGCTAAAGGAGCAAAGAAGTGCATTTTGGAGCCTTTTGGAGCACTTTTGGGCTAAGAATGGATAGCTTATGCTTGGAGCCAAAGTGTTGGACGAAATTGAAGGCCTTATATGCACTTTAGGACATAAAACAAAGGGCCTAGCCCAATCAAACAATCCTTTTAGCCATGCAAAACCTCTAGCCCAATCAAACAATCCATCAAAGCCATGCAAAACCAATCCATTCCATTTTTCCAGCATTTCCCATGTCCAACCCGTGCATTTCACATCCACTTTCCAACCATTCCATTTCATTATTGCAGCCATCATTCACTCTCTAATCCACATGCATTCATCATCATTCACCCTAGCTTTAATTCACATGCTTTCACATGCATTTTCAGCACCAAACAAGCTTTTGCCGTGCATAACCTTGGCAATTCCAGCTTCCCATTCCATCATTGCACCACATTCTCTTCCACTTTCCAGCCATTCCATTTCATTATTGCAGCCACCATTCACTCTTTAATCCACATGCATTCATCATCATTCACTCTAGTTTTAATTCACATGCAAACACATGCATTTCCAGCACCAAACTTCCCTTCATTGCCGTGCAAAACAACACCCATTTTCAGCTTTCCACCAACCAACCTAGCTGTCATTCCACATGCACTCCCTCCTTAATCATTGCAGCCACATTCTCTCACATTCTCACCCATTCTCTCCCTATAAAACCATGCAATCCCATCACACAATTCATTCATTCCACACCTCCATTCATACACAACACAACACAAAACACATCCTAAATTCCTTAGCCGTGCATCCCCACTCCATTTCTAGCATTCTTCTCTTCCATTTCCACCACTCCCCATCCCTCCAAAACACTATCCAACCATCAACCTATCCTTCGACCTTATGCTACAACAAAGAAGAGGAGAAGAGTGCCTAAACGTTCATACAATTCAAGTTTGAGTTGTTGGAATTTTTAGGTGTTTCTTTTCCTCGATTTCAATGGTTAAATTTACTTATCTTTGTTTTGTACGTATGAGGAACTAAACCCCCCATTAGCTAGGGGGTGATTCGAAACCATGTTTATGCTTGCAATATGAATTGATTACCTTTGGTTGGAATTTCATGAGTTGTGGATTCAATTTGTTTAACTGTTCGATTGATAACTTATTTATGTATGTTTATTGAGAGTGCACGCTTAATTTTCATGCATGAATATGACGCTAGAATATAAGTGAGTTTCACCTAATAGTTATGAACTTATATTCACAAGTAGTGGAGGTTGCTTATAAACAATCGCGTTAAATGAATTCTTGGCACTAGTTTCATGCTCATCATAGTAACGAATGTCTCGTCAACACTTATAGTTTTCATGATGCTTAATGATTCTTGCTTGTATCTCTATTATGCAATTCATGTAGGGAACTTGTGGGGAATGCTTTGGGTTGTCGCATGCAATCATCTAATTCATTAACTTAAGGAAAACTTGACGGTTAATTTAAGCGGACCTAATTAACCCGAGGTGATGAGTTTCATAATTCATCGAAAGACCAACCGAAAATCATCTTGTATGCAAGTGTAACATGTGTGGAGAAGAACCTTCTAGCTAGCATTCATCCCTATTTTCATCACATTCATATTTACATTTTGCCCTTAATTACAATCTGTGCATTTTAGTCTAATTTCGTCAAAACCTCAATCCCCCCCCCCCATATTTTGTTTAATCTTAATCTATCTTATTTTGTGTTTTTAAGTCTTTGGAGTCTTGTGGACTTATTTTGAGTTTTCGTTAAGTGAATTAAGTGTTTAAAGATTAGTTTTATTTATTTGAGTCAAGTGTTTAGCACCCCTAGTTAATCCCCGGTTAGAACGATCCCTACTTACATCATTACTACAATTGTCACAAATAGGGTTTAATTTATGTGTCAAATTCGTAACGCATCACTAACTCAGCATATCAATGCTCGAAATTAATTCCATAAATAATGAACCAATGTTAATGTCTTGACCCTTTCCCTGACCAATCTGTACTTGATATGCATGTGCTTGTTTCTTGAAGACCTCTTGTTGTTCTTAGAATAGAAAACTGTAGCAGTATTGTCACAAAGAATCTGTAATGGCCTTTTAATGATATCTAGAACCCTCATTCCTTCTATAAATTTTCCTATCTATACAGTACAGATATCATTGTAGTATGCTCATGATTTTACGACTATTAACACAATCTTCTTGAAGCAATGATAACCCACACATAATTAACCTAACATAATCCAGGAAAGAAATTATAAATACAAACCAAATCCTCTGTATCCATCATGACAGCTATTTCAGTTAGCTTTTGGATCTCAAGAAAATGAAAACCAGATATTACTCTACTTGTGAGAAATATCAGTGTCTCAGGCCAGATGATGATGCTATAACAACTCTAAG